AGGGAACCTTAGCCCCTCACCCCTGCGTGCGTGTTCCCTTAGTCACTGTTCCCCAAAGGGCACCATTATCCACTTTCTAACACTACAGATTAGTCTCACTCTGTTTGAACCTCGTAGAAATGGACCCATCCAGAGTGTGTGTGCGCCTCTATGTCTGGCCCTTTAGCTTAGTGTTCTTCTGGGGAGAGTCACTCACATCACTGCCTGTGGCGGCGGCTTGTTCATTCTCATTCCTGTGCGGGCCTCCACTGTGACAACTCCCATGTTTATCCACTCTACTGTTGACAGTTTGGGGCTATCATGAATGATGCAGCAATGAAAATCCCACAGCATTTCTCTTGGTGAACCTAGGGACACATTTCTGTTGGGGATACAACTGCTGGGTCATGGGGTATACGTACGTGCAGCTTCAACAGACATTGGATAACAGTTTCCCAAGGTGGCTTTGCTAACTGACACCCACGCCAGCAGTATTTGACAGCTCCGGTTAAACCACAGCTCTTGTGTCCATCATGCCCATGTTAGCCATTCCACTGAGTACGCCATGGCATTCCCTGTGGCTGTAACTGCATTTCCCTGGTGTGGGTGAGGCTGGGCCCTTTTCACAAATTCCTGACCAGTGGGCCATCTTCTCCTGTGAAGTAGAATTTCCCGTATTTAACTCCTCCTCCTCTGAACCCTACGGCAGCTCCTGTTTTCCTGAACATACTCAATTGACACCCCTAGGGACACCAGGCAGGGGCTGTTCAGTGCTGTCACTGAGAAGGCTCAGGCTTTGGCAGGATCACACGACAGTTGTTCCTTAAGAAAAGAAAACCTGAGTAGAAGCAAAGAGAAAACCAGGAGAAAGCCGGGATGGTGAGTGCTCCCAACAGCGGCAGGAAGGCAGATTCACATTCCGAGAGAAAGAGCCCCAAATCCAGGAAGAACACACATCATTCCCAAATTCCTCCCTGCCTCAGTCTTTGAAGCTCGACCTGGAAAATGCCCCCTCTACCTTGCAGTTGCTGAGTTTGGTAAAAGTGAGACCCTTTTTACAAAGCCAGCAGGTCCCCTGGTCACGGGAAATAGCTCTCGCGCACCGTCCCGTCTGGGGTCCTAATCCTCAACACCTCCCTCCCCTCCCAAACTGGATTGTGAACATGTGAGGCAGGACCCTCTACTGTCTGAACCATCTCTGGGCATTTAACAAAATCAGTGAATGTGGGATTAATGAATGGCCATGCATTTATTAAAGAAGGGGAAAGAGGATGGAAATAACACAAAAGAGAATCAAATATTTCTATCTCAGGTACTTTCATACAAATGGTCACTCACCCCCAAAACAATCGGCAGGTTAGTCTTAAAATTCCCATTTCAAAGATAAGAAAACTGAGGCTATGGAATTTAAACACTCTGCTCAGAGTCACAAGGCTGTTAAGTTACTGACTCAGAACCAGGACTGCAGCCTGCTGGACTCCAAATCCTGCTCGTCCCCGACCCTAGTCGGCCCCATGGCCGAAGGCAGGCGACACCCTTGGCCAGCCTGAGTAGTCAGCTCAACAGCTGTCAGGGTCTAGTTCAGAGCCACTCAGCACCGAGGTTTCTGCTAAAAGACAACAGTGTGCTGGTTCTGAAGGGGCACAAGTCTCCCTGATACCCATGATAGCTGGACGCAGGCGTGGTGTAGGTGGAGCCCACTCCTGGTTCTTTTGTTTCCACAGGAAATCACAAAGTGGCAGGTGAGCAAACGCTCTGGGAGACCAGTTAACATGGCCAGAGGTTCAGCGGCCATGACTCTGACAGTCACAGGTGGCAGAGAGTTGCATCTCCCTAGGCCATATGCCTCACATATGGAAATGGGAAAGGGCCTTGCTCTCTCTCACAGGCACGTGAGAAACACCCACATGGTCCCCACACTGCTCTGCACACTGAAGGACTGATGGGCACCATGGCAGGAATCCGAGAAAAGCCCAACGAGGCTTGGAGAGGAGGCTTCTCCATCCTGCAGAGCGGGCCATCCTTGAAGATAAAATCCATCCCAGCACACATGCATGTGCGTGCACGTGCACACATTCATCCATCAAATCCAACCCTGGAGCATTATGATTGGAAATAGAATCCTCAGGACCACCATGTGCTAGAGAGTGGAGTCAGCACTTGCCAGGCACCTAGCATATGATAACACCTTTGCAGATGTTACCCCCTGCTGCCCCTATCAACTCCCTGCAGAAGGCATTAGTATCTCCATTTTAAAGATGGAGAAACTGAGATGTGGGGGTTGGCCCAGGAGTATTGTGGTTAATTTTGTGCTCTCCACTTCGGCGGCCCAGGATTTGTGGATTCAGATCCTGGGTGCAGACCTACACGCTGCTCATCAAGCCCTGCTGTGGCAGCATCCCACATACAAAATAGAGGAAGACCGGCATGGAAGTCAGCACAGGGACAATCTTCCTGGGGAAAAAAGAAAAAAAGAAGAAAAAGAAGAAGCTGAGAAGTGAGGAAGTGCGGTAGCTGCAGAGAGTGACGATGAAGAGCTGCACACAGGCCCAGGTCCATCACTAACCCGTGCTGCCCTCTGCTCCACAACCTGTGTGTGAACACCAAGTCTGGGGTTTGCTGCCAGGTACCAAAAGACCCTCACAAGGCCCCTGCACCCCCAGCAGCTCACTGCTCTCTGTGGCAACATGGAAAAGCCCCCTCACTTAGACTTGCTATGTGGGCGTGAGGAACAATTACTCAGAAAGATTATAAAGCAAGGAGCCCTACAGAATATGATTTCCACACTCAAGAATAATCATCCAGAGGATAGATACTGCAGTACAAAAGGGTCAAGAAGTCTCCTCCCTCTCGACAACAAGTCTGGATTCTGTGCAGGCTTTCCCTACCTGCCAAGCACAACGGGCCAACCTGGAGCAGCATCCTACAGGCAGAAGGGCAACAGGGTTCCAGCCGGAGGCCGGCGGACACGCCGTGGTGCCTCCATGAACCCAGGCCTCCACCTCCTCCATCCCAACCTTCCCTCCCCCGTGACCACGCTCCCAACTATTTCGGGTGGTCAAGGACGATTCAGCAGCTGTTCCAAGTTTCTCCTGAACAGGTTTTCACCATCAATTTCTAAACTTAAAAGGAAATGGGAACGAAAAGGAAAGGCACTTGATGACTAGAAGGCCTGAAGCTGTGTGTACAGGAGCTGAAAATGTCAAGGTCCAAGAGTATTCAACAAAGGAAAGCAGAATTACATAAAAGCAACGGCGAACAAAAAAGATTGTTGGATGCTGTGTCTTCCACCTTCCCAGCCATTACAGGAATAAAATCATCTACGGAGAAGATGGAAAACCTTTTTCAAAATGGATACAAGTAAGCCTCACAACCGAGCCTCTCTGTTCCCCTTTCTCCCTCCCTTCCATCTCCATCTCCTTCCCACCTCCAGCTCCTGGGATGTTGGAAGTGCTTTCCTTTTTTGTATTGTCACCAGCAAAATGCTGGCATTTAAGAGGCGGAAAGGAGATCCTGTTTTTGCACTTCCTTCTGGAAGCATTCAATAACTGTTCACGATCATGTAGGAAAACCTCATTTAAAAACAAAAAAAGCCTACATCTGCATCTGGAAGGAGTCTGGATCTCACTATGAAGAGTGGGGAAGAACAGATGAGACAGGGCTTGTCCAGGAGAATCTCCTTTCCTTCAGCAAAGCAGAGGATGTTTTAAGGAGGAGAGCTGGAGTAGAGATGAGAATGGACAGTGACAAGGGGAAGAGACAGATTTTAGGGGAGGAAAAATGCTGTGAGGTTACTTCCCTTCCACCCCAAACAGACACACACACAAGGCTTCTAGGAGCCAAACTCAGAGAGAGGAGCACAGCGGGAGACCGCAGAATTGCACACATAAAAAATTCTGTGCCTACAAGCATATGGGCGACTGTGGCAATTACAGCTATGGCTGGTGGCATTTTTTTACCCTTTTCCAGGATCTCAAATCATAATCCTTGTCATTACAGCTATAGTCAAACCTGGGCAGGAGGCTATTCAGGAAACATTTGCTTGTTAAGGGCCATCTCTATAAGTGGCTCAGGGTGCAATGCCAACCCTCAGGACCACGGGGCTGTCACCGTAGAGCTTCATGTTCACATCTCAATGCTGGCTGGCCCCTAAACCCCTGCAGGGGATGGACAGGAGGGTGTCCACAGAGCAGGAGGAACCTCCCTCCTGTCCCCATTGCCTGGAAATCCAGAAAAGCACGATCCGCGTGGAGTGCCACAGGAGAAAACCCCCTTGGAAATCAGGCCCCTCTAGCACACTGTCAATTTCAAAGCTCCCAAACCGTGACAAACGATTCTCGAAGATTTGCTTGCAATAAGCTGATGGCTCAGGTTGCTTGGCATGCTGTCTTGGGCACGAGGGAGAACAATTTTTTTAACCTCTCAACCATCCCCTCCCACATTTTAAGCCGTTTCTTTGAAAAATCTAACATGATCAACAAATTAAGCCCCTCAAAAAAGTAAGCAAGTTATCAAATGAATTTTCAAGAGTTGGTGTAGGCTTAAGAAAAAGGAAAGATGGTGTGTCTTTGAATCTCATTCATTTCAAAGGCTTATTCTTAGAAAAGGAGACTGTGTGTAGCCATGGTGCACTTTGATCTCCCGACTCCCAGGAGAAAATCAATAACACAACTTTAATATATTTGTATGGCAAGACTTCACGTTATTATTATTTTTATCCAGTGTGGCTTAACTGAAGTGAGAAAGTAAACCGGGTCTCAGCACTGCCCTGTGGTAGAAGGGAATTTCTTCTAAATTGAACTATAGCAGAGCCAGCCACATTCAACAAAATGGGGGCCAATTAAAAACCAATTATCTCTGTGAATGCAACTTGTTGAAAGGTTGGGGGTGTGGTGCTCGCTGCAGCGTGCAGGAGGGCGTGTCTGCAGGGAGCTGGCGAGCCCTTCTCCCCACGAGGCAGTGGATTCTGTCAGGCGCCTTTAGGACCTGGCCCCGGAAAAGGGAGCCAGCGCCAGCCTTACCTTCCTCTCAATGCGCCCCAGTTGCTCCTTATAGAAGGTGTCGCGGCGTCTCAGCTCTGCCTCTCGGCTCTCCAGCTCCCTGACCTGGTTGGAAGAGAACAAAGCTCCCGTTAGCTGGCAGCAGCGTGCTGGGCTGGGGCTGCAGGGAGAAACCAACAGTGACTTCTGCTCACAGCAACGTTCACAATGAGAATGGCAGCGAGGGTGAACTGAAGCCTGTGCTGTGCCAGCTTGCTTACACATCTTGTGTTTCATCACCACACACCTCCAAGGCAGGAAACTGCAGCACCGTTTCACAGGTGACGAGCACTAGCATTCACTGAGCGCTTATGATGCGCAAGTACAGCCCCAGGTGCTTCCCACAGATTCTCCCAATGGACCCTTACAACTTCTCTAGAAGGTAGGTAGGATTATGACGACCCCCGTTATAGAGGAAGAAGTAGAGGGCTAAGCGACTGTCCCAAAGCTCACAGCTATGAGGGAGGAGCTGGGGTCTGAAGCTCGGCAGATGCAGGGCCTGGCCAGGAAGTCACACTGCCTTGAGACCACACAGGCCAGAAGGGCCAGAGCTGTTCTCTGGCCATGGAGTCCTCACACCTGGCACCACAACGTGCCGCCAACTAATGCTCTCAGCTATAAGAGGCAGGAACGCCAAAATGCCCTTCTTCTGGTAAGGCCAACACCCTGCTTCAGGGGTCAGGGATCTGAAAGGTGAGTGGGATCAGAAGCCCAGGATCCCAGAGCTGGAGGGGACACTGCTCCCTCACCCATCTGATGGGGAATGAACAGAACTGCTGGGGCACCGGCTGGCGACCCTCCCTCAAGGCTGCAGTTAGGCTGAAGGGATTGGGCGAGTAACCTGGAGCCAGCAAGCCTGGGTTGAACCCACCCCACCCTTAACTAGTTGGGTGACCTCAGTTCCCTACCTCCACCAGGTTCCAGCTTGCTCAGGTACAACAGGTAAACCTGCAACAGAAGTGTCATCCCACGGGGCTCCACAGAAGGTTAAAGGAAACCCCTACAGAAACAGGCAGGATCACAGACGCCCCACAAAGGGACACTTCCATCACGGCAAAGCAGGAACACGTGTCCTCTTCACTGGGACACCCACGTCCCCGGAGCCTCTGAGGACCTTTCTGGGATGAGGCCCCAAGGTCTGCCTCTGCCCGGGGGGCTGAGAACTCTAGAGGACAGGCTTGGTGCGTGCATGGAGGAATAACGTCAGCTGCTCGCCAGCTGTCCCGTGCTAAGGGCCCCGGGCACTAATACACCACTCTAGGGTCTGGGTGCCACCTACTACTTCTCATGACCAACAGCACAAAGCTAGTCAACGACTAAAGGGGCCATGAACCTAAGTCGGCGTAACTGCAAGTGGTGAGCTTCTTCCTTCGAAGCACACACTATGGCGTCACCCTCCTAACTACACACTAACACGCTATGGCGTCACCCTCCTAACCACACACTAACACACGATGGCATCACACTCCTAACCACACACTAACACACGATGGTGTCACACTCCTAACCACACACTAACACACGATGGCGTCACACTCCTAACCACACACTAACACACGATGGCATCACCCTCCTAACCACACACTAACACACAATGGTGCCACCCTCCTAACCACACACTAACACACTATGGCATTACACTCCTAACCACACACTAACACTCGATGGTGTCACACTCCTAAGCACACACTAACACACTATGGCATCACACTCTGCTAACCACACACTAACACACGATGGTGCCACACTCCTAACCACACACTAACACACATGGCGTCAGCACATGGGTTTGAATTGCTCAAAAACAGTAGTTAGGACAAGAACCGACGTCTCTTCCAGCCCACTTACTTGACAATGCTACTCCCCGGGCCTGAAACCTTTCTGAAGCCCCATCAGGGGGGTCAGTAATGAACAGCTGACCATATGACAGTGCCTGAGGGAAGGCTGGGTTTTAAAGGACCACACTGCTCCCAGGGAAGTGCCAGGCTGACGGGGCCTGGCGACGGGCTAACCACCTGAGAGCTGAGTTGTCACACCAGCTCAACCAATGAGAGGCCTGCAAGCTTGAGCAAGTTGCCATCCTTTTCTTATTTTCTCCTTACCTATAGAATGGAGAGGAGTAGTAACTTGGCTACCAAGACGGCTGAGAATATCTAAAAATGCCAAGAAGGTTTCTCGAATGCCTGTGGAACGCCAACACTTCAGAAAAACTAAATACAAACAGTGAGACTAAATGCTGGGGATTTCTCGTGGATTCTTCAAAGGCTGCTGCTGAGGCGGAGTCCCAGGAATGCAAGCATGGCTAATCTGTGCCGGGCCCTTAGCAGCCCGCACTTTACCAGTAACCATCCCTGTTGCAACCACAGGAGAAGATGGTCTGGCACGATGAAGCAGCCAGAACAGGAGCACTCCCAGGGCCCCGGACCTGCCATTTATTGGCCAATAGTTCCAGTCGAGCCGGAAGATGACGTCTAAAAGCAAAACTGCAGCGAGTCTCTGCAGTGTGCCCCACTGGGCCCGAGGGCGGCAGAAGAGGAGGCCCCGGCACACGTCCACCACCAACAGGACGCCTCCTCTGGGCGCTCGCCCGCGGCTCCTGGGCCCATGCCAGCACAGATGTCTACATCAGGGGCGGGACACAGAGCTAAAGCTTCCTTACATGGCGGCTTCCTTAGGCTACAGAGACTGTTCACACACAAGAAGAAAGACTGCGGGTGTGGGGGCCTCCTTCCGTAGTCCCATCAATTTGCAATACGACTAAGCTGTTGTCTAGGAAGGAAGTGACTGGTGTTCAGAGAGCACAAGTCCGTTGCCCGCCAGAACAGAAGCTCTGTGAGGGGGGAGCCTCGCCCACTTCTGGCCTACCCCAAAGCCTCGGCCTCCCTCACAATGAGGCAGAAGGCGGCCAGCCCACCACCTCCATTCCATCCACTCAGAGGCATCAGCTGCCTTCTCTGTTCGTCTCTGAGATTCACATGAAATCCAATGACTGACAACAGACAGGAGGCAACACACAAAAGAGGGCTGTAAAAAGTGAATGCGATACAAACACCTGGACGTCAGCACCTGGCCTCGAGCAGGTGCTCAATGATTCGGTTTTCATGAATGAAAGCAGGCATCAGACGACAGTGGCTGCTCTACATAGCTGCTACAGCCCAACACCTGCTTCCCTATCCTCGTGAGAAGCTATGAGGCAGGCGTCTCTCAGCACGACCATGGAATTAAGGAGGCACAGGCAGGTTTCAGTGACTGATTCAGTAATTTGTGCGTGTGTGTGTGAGGAAGATTGGCCCTGAGCTTGAAGAAGATTTTTGCTGAGCTAAGATCTGCGCCAATCTTCCTCTATTTTGTACATGGGATGCCAGCGCAGCGTGGCTTGAGGAGCAGTGTGCAGGTTTGTGCCTGGGATCCAAACTTATGAACCCTGGGCCACCAAAGCAGAGTGTGCAAACTTAATTACTAAGCCACTGGGCGGGCCCCTGATTCAGTAATTTATCAGAACACTATTGGCTATCTGCCACGTGACAGACACTATCATAAAGGGGCTGGGAGCACAAAAGGGAAATGACAGAGAAAGTTTCTTTTCTCATGGAGCTTAGATCCCAGCGGGAGAGACAAATGTGTGCACAGATAAATAAGATAATTTCAGAGAGAGAGACATGCTGGGGACACTACAGACAGAATAACTTGCAGGGTAGTGGGCTGCTCTTTTCTCTAAGAAGATTTCCAAGACAGTCTTCTGGGGAAAATAATACTGAATACAGCATGCTGTCTCCAATACAGAGGTAAAACATCACCACTATGAAGATCTACTTGGTGGATTGAATGGAGAACTGAAAGGAATCTCTGGTGATTTAGTCAAGGATTTCCTCCAGTCAAGAGAGCACAGTGAGCTCACACTTCGATGCATCCACTCTGCTGCAAACACAGAGCCAGGGCAGACGAAATATAAGAACAAAAGACCAAAAAGACATGGCCAGCTTCAAAAACAAGATTAAAATGTCCAAGAGAACAGAAATGCAAAGCAGTAGGTGAGGCTGAAGCCACAGGCCCGCTGGGCTCCGGGTCTGGAGCCAGCAGAGGCAGCCAGAACAAACCCTGCTCCACAGATGTGGCGCTGGAGCCAGGTTTGCCACCCGGAGCCTCAAGCTCCCCAAGAATAAGAAGTTGATGCAAAACTTCCTGAAGAGACCACTGCAGGGCCATGGTTTTCAGTTTGCTTGAACCTAGGTTCACCCCAGAGGCCCCAGCCCCAGGCTCAGCTCCCAGGCCACGAGTGGACCACACGCCCCAGGCGCAGCTCTCAGGCCACAAGTGGACCACACACCCCAGGCACAGCTCCCTGGCCACGAATGAACCACACGCCCCAGGCTCAGCTCTCAGGCCACAAATGAAACACATACCCCAGGCGCAGCTCCAAGGCCACGAATGAACCACACGCCCCAGGCTCAGCTCTCAGGCCACAAATGAACCACATACCCCAGGCGCAGCTCCAAGGCCACGAATGAACCACACGCCCCAGGCTCAGCTCTCAGGTCACAAATGAACCACATACCCCAGGCTCAGCTCTCAGGCCACAAATGAACCACATACCCCAGGCGCAGCTCCAAGGCCATGAATGAACCACACGCCCCAGGCGCAGCTCTCAGGCCACGAATAAACTACACGCCCCAGATGTAGCTCTCAGGCCACGAGTGGACCACACGCCCCAGGCTCAGCTCCCAGGCCATGAATGAACCACACACCCCAGGCTCAGCTCCCAGGCCACGAATGAACCATACGCCCCAGGCGCAGCTCTCAGGCCACGAGTGGACCACACACCCCAGGCACAGCTCCCAGGCCACGAATGTACCACACGCTCCAGGCTCAGCTCCCAGGCCATGAATGAACTTTACGCCCCAGGCTCAGCTCCCAGGCCACGAATAAACCACATACTCCAGGCTCAGCTCTCAGGCCACGAATGAACCATACGCCCCAGGCGCAGCTCTCAGGCCACGAGTGGACCACACACCCCAGGCACAGCTCCCAGGCCACGAATGTACCACACGCTCCAGGCTCAGCTCCCA